AAGTGATCCTTACATTATGGTATAATAGTATTCTTTTTGCACTTAATAGTTATTCTTTGACATTTCCTTGAGAAAATGCAGTCCATTTTATGCTTTGCCCATGTTTTCCAAAATTCCAAGTAGAATATTAACTATTTAATTGGCATTAGTAAGGATCTGGTGATAGAGCTACTTCTGGAAAAAAAATTATTGTCTGCAACTATTTTCTTGTCTTGCATTGCGAAGGTCACAGAAATGACTGCTTATTGAGAATATGGCTTTACTATGAGACACAACTATGTTTCACTTTCTACTTGGTACCTCAGTGCAACTTGGGGCAAGTTTTATAATATAGCTTGTGTTCCATTATTTCTTACTAAAAGATGATCACAGTGTTACCATATGAGAGATGCCATTAAGACCAGGGAGATAGCTCAGTGGGTAAAGTGCTTGTTCAATGATCAAATATTTTCTAACACAACTTAAATTTTAGAAACTTGGCCTCAATGTAGAGTATTGACTTATCCTGGCTACTCAGGTCCTGTCATGATTGAGTCTTATTTATTATTAAATATTTTCTTGAATAGAAATATTAACCAAATATTCTTTTATTGGCTGTAGAAATACAATCCACCTCATGGTGGATGGAGTCAGATCACATACAGCTTCAGAACCATGTCTCTCCTCTTCTCCAGGTCCTCACCTACTTCACAGTTGGATGTAAACACACTGTGACACCCAATAGACATTGAATGTATTCTGAAGCATATGCATAAGAATTAACTTTAAGCATAGAATGAACAGCCTTCAAACAGTTATTCATCGGAAACACAAAAGGGGGCTGATAGGCTTTAAGTCATCATAGGGAGGTTGTCCAGGATGCAACTTGAGGTTTATATTAAAGGCTGTTTCTGAACTCAAATAACCATGTTCCTATCTGACTTTCATTCACATAATTTCCAGAATCTCCTTAGTCAGATTCATCTTTCCAGATGGGAGCATTAATCAAGATAACCCAATTGAAACTGTTGTTGCACATTGTTTGCCATGTGCTGTGAAGTTTAGTGAGAATTACTTCAAAGGAGTGTAAGGTCAACATCTTGTCACCAGCATCTCATCTGTCATCCTGGCAATATTTGAAACCTCTTTTATCTTTCAATGTTTTTTAAATGTGGATTGTTATTATATAAAAAATTGCATGTGCCTCTTTTAGGCTTTCTTTATCATCTTTCGGCATTGCTAGTTTTGCGAGCAGCTAACAGTAAATCCAGTGCAGATGGTCTAAGAAAGTTATGGAAAAACCTAATGTGATTGGACAGATTCATAAAATGTAGTCAGATTATATATAAGCTGGATAGATATTTATCCTCCCTCTACACCTCATGCAAGGCAGTGTGTTTGCATGTATAGTCACTCTAGATGAGAAGCTTGGCCACACATAAAGAAGCTGATGAATCCAAGATCACTCACCACTCATCGAGTTGCAGCTCATGAATCAGTTAGAGCAGACGATAAATAAGTGGCCATGGTCTCATTCCTCTGCTGCCTGAGGCTTTTGTAGTGATTGGTTTTGAATCTAACAGTAAGGTCCAGTGAGATATTTCACATTTCATGCCATGGGAATAACTATCCATAATCAGCTGGTCCCCTGTTTTTTATTTTATTAGTTCAAATTAGGAACAAGGTTGCTTCAGATGTCAGTCCCTTCTCCCTCTCCTTCCCCTCCCTCCAACATCCCACCTGCCCCTAGACATCCCCCCTCCACTCCCCAGGCAGGGTAAGGACCTCAAAAGGGGCTCCCCAAAGTCTACCACATCATCCTGTGCCAGGTGTCCAGGTCAAGAGAGCATTTTTATTCCTTGAATTAGGACTCATTTTCCACATAAAATGATTAAGTAAAGTGGAGGTGACAGGATTTCTAGGTTATAATCTTATGTCAGATGCCAGAGCATAAACACTTTTGTGATCTTGCATTAATGTTTGCTAAGTTTCTAAATTAAATTTGTATTACTGTCAGAAAATGAACTTCAGCTAATTGACTGAAGTTTATTGTCTGAGTTCTCATTCCATTTTAATGAGTTTAGCTTTTCTTATATGGTGAGTTTACCAGGATTCTTCTGGTTGTAAGTAACAGAATATAAGTGGGATTGACTGAAGTGAGGAGGAGCTGGATGACTTATGTGCTTCCTTAACCTGATGGTTTTACCCCCAAGAAAAGAGCTTCAGAGATTGGATTCATAACTTTCTGGCCCCACAATGGAGAATGACACTTTTTCTTGAGATTTCCTCTTTATGGACTCTCCCAGGTCTCTGATGAATTCTACCAAGACTATTTGCCAGAATACTCAGGGTGTGTGTGATTTTCATATGAAATTTCCAGACAGGAGAAACAGATGTCAGCAGGATATAAAATTTCCTTCTTTCCTTCTAAGGGAGGAAACAAACCATTCTTCCATATTGTATCAAAGACCTTGTTGGACGTCAGTCAATTAAGCTTATTTGACATGACCTAAGGGCTAAAATATGATATGTCACAACTTTCATAAAAATGTTACAATTAACACTATAATGAAATGCACAAAACTCAGTTATTATTGTTGACTTAACACTTCCCAGAAGTGTGATATTTGCTCATTTTGTTTTATAAACAATTGCAAAAGCCCTTGGTATATCTCATTTAAGAATAACATGAGGATTAATGACTGATACAGATTGATTCCTTCTATTATTCTCTTTCCCTCATCTATCATTTCCATGTTTGTAGCCTGGTATAGTTTCTGATGATGGACTGACAGGTGGCAATCACGCTTACTATATGCTTTCTTCCCTGGACTTAATATCTCCCATTTACAAAGAGAAGTTCTTTGCCACTTCCTCACAGTTACTGTTGCTAAAGTGCACCAAACAACTGCCTTCCCATTATCCTTTGGCCAGGAATCACATCTATACAGAATCAATAACCCTTATTGTAATTGTAGGAAAACTTTTCAGAGAATGATTTTATGTCTGCTGCTGTGTCCATAGCTGTCTCCCATTCATATATTTACATCTGAGATCAGTTATCAGGTAAGGTTTTCCATTTTCTTCTTTACCTGGGCTCTTTACATTGATTTAAGTAGGAATTAAGAATATCAGAAGGGTGTATAATGAGCAGGTCGACAAATTTCCAGTATAATATTTGGATAGTCCAATTTGCACAAAACATTCATTTTATTTACTTTTTACTGGAGGAGACCTGTAAAATACATATTAGAATCAGTTGTTCAGAAAATGAGACTAGGCAGTATAGTACAGTGAGTTTTATTTTTTTTTTTACAGGAACTTCTTGATCTGCCTACATACATATATCACAGTAAGCTTTAGAAAAGGAGGGAGTGTAGGTGACCCTCTGAGAATTAAAAGTTTCACATCAAGATCTGGAGTAAGGCGCTTCAGATGAGAGCAAACATACAATGTTTCTTTCTGGGCCTGGGTTATCATACAAATTGTGATCTTTTCTAGTTCCACCCATCTGTAAGTTTTATGATTTCAGTTTTCTTCACAGCAAAATAGTATTCCATAGTATATGTTTATCACATTTTTGTTATACATATGTTAGTTGAAGGACATATAGATTATTTCCATTCCTTAGCTATTGTGCATAGAACAGGAATGTACATGGTTGGTTAAGTAAGATGTAGAGTCCTTTGGGCATATACCAAGAAGTAGTACAGCCAGGACATATAGTAGCTTATTTTTAGCTTTTTGAGATTCTACACACTAATTTCTAGTGTGGTGGACTACTTTGCAATCTCACTAACGGTGACTGAGGGATGCATTTTCCTTACTCCTTCTCCAGGATTTGTTGTCAGTTGTATTGTAGATCTTTGCCTTTCTGATTGTGGTAAAATGAAATTTCAGTGTTGTTTTGATTTGTGTTACCCTAATTGCTAGGGACAATGACATATTTTTAACATAATTCTTAGTCTTTTCTTCTTCTTCTTTAGAGAACTCTATGTTCAAGCCCCAGACCTAATTAACAAATTGGCAATTTTTTTCTTGTTTTAGTTTTCTTTTTTAGTCTTTTATATATTTTGTTTATTAATCCTCTGTCAGATGGATAGCAGGAAAAGATTGCCTTCTATTCTGTGGGTTTCATTTTCACCTCGTTGATTGATTTTTGAATTTTTGTTTTTTATTTTTCACCTGTGCAGAAGGTTTTTATTTTTCTTAAGCGAAATTTTCAATTGTTGATGTTAATTCTTGGGCAAAATAATTCCTATTCAGAAAGTCCTTTCCTACATCTGTTTCATGTATGGTACTGCTTGTAATTTCTTCTAGTATTTCCAGTGTTTCAGGTTTTACATTTAGGCCTTTGCTGTGTCTGATTTTTTTTTTGTGTGTGTGCAACGTGGCAGATATGGATCTAATTTCTTTCCTCTGCATGTGGATACCCATTTTCCCAGCACCATTTGTTGAACATGTTTTCTTTTTTCCATTACATGTTTTTTAGAATCTTCATCAAATATTTAATGGCACAGTGATGGTGAATGTCTTTCTGTTTGCTCTGAATATCTGTTTTTCTTTTGGTTGATGAATAAAGCTGTTTCAGCCAATGGGCAGGAAGGATTGAGACAGGTGGGAAATCCAAAGAGAGAGAGAGAGAGAGAGAGAGAGAGAGAGAGAGAGAGAGAGAGAGAGAGAGAGAGGAGGAGGAGGGAGAGGTGAGAGAGAGAGAATGTG